AATTATAAATTCATACTTCCGTTTACACAAGCAGGTATAGTAAATATCCTATTTTAATTGAAGGGTTCAGTGCAGTATTGTCAGCTTTAAGGAATGTTCTTACAGCATGTTAAAAATAACAACACATAAGTGTAATAACATAAAATAGTATAAAATAAATAAAGAAAGTGAGTATATCCTGATTGTTCTGGGGAAATGCAAATTGTTTAGTTTTAATGCAAATAAAAATTTTAAGCATTACTTTGAAGAAATAGATGTAATTTATTAATCAGGACTAGATTAATTCAGGAATCTTAATAATGTATGGCCTTCTGCCTGGGAAAGAACAACTAGGGTGGTCCTATACAATAGTGTCAGTAAATCTGCTGAATCTCCCAGGATATTAGCAGATTTATTAGGGAGGATGTGCTAAGAGAAAAGTAATTTGGAAGATACAATAGGTATGCTGGCACCCTGGTACTGTATGTATGAACTATCCAGAATCAGTAAAGAAGATAAAGTCTGTCCCCTTGTCTCTTCAGTTCTCCCAATCCTAGTAGGATGTGCAAAGAATGAGAAAGATAAAAAAATCAAGAATCAGAGTGACCAAGAGTGATAAAGAAAGATAGATGTGTACACCAAGGGGCATTCAAGCATTTTTCACAACAGCCAAAAGATGAAAATAACCCAAGTGCCCACCAAGAAATGAATGTATAGACAAAACGTAGTGTATTCATACAATGGAATACTACTCCTGCTATGGTGCTATAGGGACTGACTCAATAGAGTCTGAAATGACTAGACAGCACTTAACAACAACAACATAAAAAAGAATGAAGCTCTGATGCATTCTACATCATCGGATGGATGGGTAAACCCTGAAAGAAATAATGCCGAGTGAAATGCCAGACATAATAATGTATGATCCAATTTAGTGAAATATCTAGAATAAGTAAATATGTTAAGACAAACATATATTCACGGTTTTCAGGGGCTGGGAGGAGGCAGGAAATGAGAGTTTTGCTGAAAGGATACTAAAATTTGCTGAAAACTTTTGGAAATGGGTAGTGTTAATGGTAACATAACAATAAATATAATTAATGTCACTGAACTGTAAAGGTAAAAAATGGTCAAAATGAAATTTTTAATCTATTTTGTTGTTGTTATTGTTTTTGTTAAGTGCCATTGAGTTAGTTCTGACTCATAGAGATCCTGTATAGGGTTTCTGAGGAGCAGCTGGTGGATTTAAACTGTCGACCTTGTGGTTCTCAGTCCAGTGCAAATCCTACAGCACCACACCAGGAGTCCAACTGACCACAATAGAAGTTAGAAAGAGATGGGGCTGGTGGAGAGAAAAACAAAGAGGATGTAATGACAAAAGGCAGATCTAGAAGTAGACCCTGGCACCCGTTCATCCAGTAAGTCTGGTGACCATCTCTGAGAGGAACACATGGGATAGCACAGAGAACACTAGGAGACAGTGTAGCCAGAACTATACTTTGCATCCTGCTTCCAGTTTCTGCCCTTCTAGATGCTCTGGCTGCCTTTCTACCCTGCTGTCCCAGTTTATCTTTCTCTAGCTCCCATGTGTATAAACTGGCCTCCTTCTTTTGGCAGGCCTCCAATTACCTACCCCTGGCCAGCCCTCAGGTCTTCTCCCAGGGGCTACCCAGTGCCCAGGGCTCCTTGGTTGCAGCCTGGGGGTGAGCAAGAGCTGAAAGCCTGTGTTTAGACAGGCCATTGGCACTGTGAGAAAAACACGGCTATCAATGGACCAGGGAACCTGGTGTGGTGCTGCAAGTTAAAGGACTGGACTGCAAGGTTGGCAGTTCAAGCTCACCAGCTACTCCTTAGAAACCCCATACAAGGTTGCTGTGAATTGGAACTAACTCAGTGGCACTTAACAATAACAATCAATGGACCAGGAATCCTGGTATGGCATTGTAGGATAAGCACTAGACCTCAAGTTTGGTTGGAACGCAAAGTTGACAGTTCTAACTCACTAGCCACTCCTCAGAAACCCTATATGGGGTCACTATGAGTTAAAAAATGACTTGATGGCATTTAACAATAACATCATTGGGCCAAGGAGGTGGGGCTCTGCAGACCCTTCTTTGCCATCCCTCTCAGGCAATTTACTTTTTGCCCCAATCTGAGTGCTGCTACAAATTGCTTCCTGGGCTTCAGCAAACATCATCGGACACTTAATTACACTATGCTTAATGAATCATTATTTTTCAATCATAAAAAATATAGCTACTAAAGGACAAATGTAGAAATCCTAATTGGATTTCCAGCTAGGACTAGCGACTAAGTTCATTAGGTTTTCCTTCAAGTTATAAACTATTTCTGATAAGGAAGAAAAACACAAAATGTGAACCCAATCAGAAAGAAAGAAATTATAATAAACTTGTTGTTGTTGTTATTGTTATTAAGTGCCGTGGAGTCGGTTCCGACTCATAGCGACCCTGCACAGGGTTTCTGAGGCTGTAAATCTTTACGGGAGCAGAATGCCTCATCTTTCTCCCACGGAACCGCTGATAGTTTCGAACTGCTGACCTTGCGGTTCACAGCCTGATTCGTAACTACTACGTTACCAGAGCTCCTTCTAGGTAATTTAATTTTCTGAATTTAAATTTGATTTCTTATTTCAACATTTTACAAAAATTAATTATCTATTTCTGCTCCCCTGACTGATATTGTTACTTTAAGTTGTATCCAACTTAAAGTAACTTCGACACAGTAAGTTCAACACAGTCAGTGTTGAATTTCCCTACCTACTTTTGTCATGTTCTCATAAACTATCCAATAAGAGCTAGTGATTTCATCATGCCCTTTTTTCTTATTCTTCTCTCTTTATGTTGTTGTTGTTAAGTGCCATCGAGTCGGTTCTGACCCATAGCAACCCTATATAGGGTTTCTGAGGAGCAGCTGGTGAGCTTGAACCGCCGACCTTGCAGTTCAAACAGCTTTGCAGTCCGGCGCATTAACCCACAGTGCCACACCAGGATCTCTAAGTATTGTTTTTTGACTTTCCGTAGATAGCATTAGTAAAGCAAATTTCTTTGAGGAGGGGAATATTTCCTTCATGACATAATCTCTGTGACTACGAATCCTCACTGATCTTACAATAAGTTGCAACAGGAAGTGTATGATACAACCTCCAAGGTCTGGCAGCTAACCCATCTCTCACACAATGGCTAAATACATCACTGTGCTTTCTGGCCCCACAGACACGTAAGTACACGAGTAATGCCTTCTCCTGAGTGAACGAACACGTTGGCATAAGCAGCAGTACTCTGCCTTCCACTTTGGGGAAATGTCTTCTTTGAACAAAATACAACTAAGTCATAATTGTATGCAGCATCTAGATATTAAGAAGTAATTACTGAAGAGTTAGAACAAAGGGCATAAGATGGAATCCCCACTGAATAGTTTTCCTTTTATCCAGATGGGTTTGGTGATGAGGAGATAGGATTTTATGAGTAATTATTATCAAGACTAATGGCAATGATCACAACTGGAAATGCAGAAGAGGTGTAATGAACAGAGAACCGTAGGACCATCGAGAGGGAAGAACATGAGAGGAGTGAGGGATCCTGACCAGAAAAGCAGTAACAGCAGTGATGGTGGCAGAGGCGATGGCATAGAGACAGAGCAGCAAAGGACTTTAAGGCCAAGGACTGACAAAGGCAGTGTGCCTACGGGCAGGAAACTGGCTTACAAAATGTGTACTTTGGACATTTAAATGAGCATATATTTTCATTGTGGTATGTGTACATAAAAAAAGTGGTAATAGAGGTGAATACTGTTAGCTGATGGTACATGTAGGGGATTATAATTATTACAATGATTTGTTGAATGTGTAACTGATGAGCTCCCTTGTATACTTTCACTCACTCAGTTCACAATAAAAGCTCTAAAAAAAATTTAAAAAAAAAGGAACTACTGAAATAATAGTAACAATTCTAAAGCTTTTTAGTGGGGAGCCCACCCACTGCCATCTAGTTGATTCCAACTCATAGTGACGCTATCTGACAGAGTAGAACTGCTCGGGCTTCTGACACTATAAATCTTTCCAGGAGCAGATAGCTTAATTTCTCTCCCTCAGGAGGTTGGTGGGTTTGAACCACCAACTCTGAGGTTAGCAGTCCAACAACTAATTCACTGAGCTACTAGGACTTTTTTTCATAGGAAAGAACCATCTGTTGATTACCTATTACTTTCCATGCCTTTACTTAAAGCACAGTCTATTTAAAAGGAAAAAAGGTACTCGTAACAATGGTGAACAATATCTGAAGGAAAGGAACAGCCAAGATTTAAGTTCATCCACTAAGACTCAGTATTTATTATCATGATGTGCTTTCATATAGAATGCCATCTAGTACCATCTCCAGGCATACCTTAGAGACATTGCAGGTTAGATTCCAGACCACCGTAACAGAGCTAACATAGCAATATACCAGTCAGGAATTTTGTGGATTCCCAGTGCATATAGAAATTATGTTTACATGATAATCAATTAAAGAAGCCTTGGCAGTGCTGTAGGTTAGGCGTTGTCTGCTAACTGTAAGGTCAGCAGTTCAAACCCACCTGCCACTCAGCAGGAGAAAGATGAGGCTGTCCGCTCCTGTAAAGATTTAAAGTCTCAGAAATCCTATGGAGGTAGGGTCACTATTTAGACAGAATCGACCTGATGCAAGTGGGTTTGATTTTTTGGTTTTGTAGCATAGAACGTGTGCAATAACATTATGAAAAAGTTTGAAGTATTGTGATAATTATCAAAATGTGGTACAGAAACACAAAGTGAGCACATGCTGTTGGAAAAAAATGTAGCCATAGACCTGCTCAGTGCATGGTTGCCACAAACTCAGTCTCTGCAAAGTGTAAAAAGCAAAATGCAATAAAACAAGGCATGCCTGTACATCCTGTTTATGCGTGTGTTTTTCAATCAATCGGGTTAATTTATAGAGCTCAAATTCCTTATTCTTGGGGACCAAATATTAGAAATGAAGAATTACCTTTTTAAATATTCCAGACTCTGTAGATACAGGACGAAGTGACTCACTGGTATTATGAAAGAATTGGGACTCTCCACAGTGCAATACAAATTCCTGGGACTCTTGAGAAACGAGGCTTCCATCCGCTACTTCCAAAGCTCTGTAAAGAGAGGAAGCATAGTCAATAAGTTATCGAGAAAGCTAAACATTGAAGAAGCCTGAAGACAGACTTCCCCATGTCTATTTCCAATCGGTCCAAATAATGAATCTTTAGTCAAAACCCTACATTGCTGTTATTGTTATGTGTCATCAAGTTAGTTCCCACCCATAGTGACCCATTGCTGTCACCACTGTGTCAACCCATCTCTTTGGGGGTCATTCTCTTTTTCACTGATCCTCTACTTTTCCAAGCCAGATGTCCTTCTCCAGGGATTGGTCCCTTCTGATAACATGTCCAAAGTTTAAGAGATGAAGTCTTACCATCCTGGCTTCTAAGGTACATTCTGGCTGTACTTCCTCTAACATAGATTTGTTTATTTCTCTAGCACTCAACGGTACTTTTCATATACTCCTCCAACACCATAACTCAAATGCATCAATTCTTCATAGCACTGAAGGTAATTTGATAGTGCCATAACACATTTATAATAACCCTTGATGACTTCACCATGTGGTCAACAAAATTATTTAAAACTCTATGCAGAAAATAAATTCAAGGTAGGTAAATGGATGGAGTCCTGATGACACTATAGGATAAGCAATGGATTGTTAACCAGTTCAAACCCACCAACTGCTCCTCAGAAACCCTCTATAGGGTCCCATGAATTGGAACCAAATCAGTGCCACAACAATAACAACAACAGGTAGACACACAAATGGACAGGTTTGGGCGTGAAAGTGGTCCAATTTAATTTTATGATTTTCTTGATTGCTCTATTGCATTATTTTTAAGAAATGACAAAAAGAAATTTGTAAGTTTCTGAAACATTGAAAACAAAGTGGAAACTTTGTGGAGCAAAGTGAAAACAATGTGGAGCCTCTGCATACATAAGAGTATAAGTGGAATCCTGAACAGCATCCAGAATCTTCAGAGGTGGAAAATTTCCATTTGAAAGGATGGGCAGATCAGCCTGGAGTGGCTAAAAGAACAGAAGATACTTCTTGAAAGAAATACCGACAGGAAAAATACAAAACAATATAGGCAGACCAACTGATTACTACAAGAACAAGCATGTTGCTCACCCAGGAGACATCAAGGCAAGTAGTCAGGTCCTCTCAGTGCAAATCCCCTTCCAAGTCTAAGACTCAATGGGAATACATGCTCTGATTGGTGATCATGTTAGTCACCGATAAGGGGAAGTGAGGGAAAAACAGCAATGAAGCTGCAAGCTAAGCCCTACAACATTCAATAGATTCCTGTAAACCCAGGTGGAGACCTGGTTGGCCAGTAGTGTGGCAAGGCCTGGGGACTCTTGTGCCCAGAGTCAGTGACACAGCCACAGAGGACTAGAGTGGAGAGTGAAGCGTCCAGCTGATAAGAAGAGAGGATATATGCACATGAACACCCACACTTGCAGATAATACCCACTTGACCTGGCTTCAATGACTGGATGATCAGAGCTCAACTAGAAGAAGAAAGAAGTAATCTGATACAATTTGATGAACTTGACCTACACCTATGGATGCAGTAGCTCAAAAAAGGGAACAAATCTTTATAGTGAGGATCATTCCCACCCGCTCCATACACAGAGTAGACAGGGATAGGCAACTTGGACATTGGCTACCCAAAGTGGGGGGGCTACAAAGGCAAGAAGAGACTGGCTTACAAGCTTTCAAGAGGGAACCTAGATCCAGAGGGCAGAAGGCGTGGAGAAAGGTAGAATCTCCACTGAGTAGTATCCAATCTGTCTAGGTGGGGCTGATGAAAGGAAATGCAGATAGGTCTCTTGTGATACAATAGTGAATAATTGTTATCAGAACTGCTTGTGAGGGTTGGAAATGTAAAGGTAAATGTTTTGTGGCAAGGAGGGGAGTGATTAACTTTGCAGTCTAGGAGTGGAGGTCCCTGGGACCATGAAGGAAGAAGAGCGGAGAGCAGGACCCTACCCAAAGAAGCAGTGATGCCAGAGATGGAGGCAGAGAAGATGACATGGAAAGATGGAGCAGCTGGGGACTTTGGACCCAGAGAGGGAGAGGGGCTGTGTGCTGACAACCGGGGGGCAGGTTTGTAGGGTATACCCTTTGGTTGGTTGATGATGCATGGAGGGGATTGCAACCATGGCAATGAAATGATATACAATAGGATGAATGTAAAACTAATGTTCTCCCATGTAAACTATCACATAATTCACAATAAAACATTAAAAAAAAAAAAAAAGGAATGGAGATGAATGAAGACAGAAAGTATTCTAGCAGACTCTGCTGGTTGCCTAACCCAAATCATTTATCTTACTAACCACATCCTCCTGCTCACCCATTCATCTCAAGTTTTCTTTGATAATAACCCTGGTTTTTCCTCAGATATCCTTCCTCTATATATCTCAGAAAGGTGCTCTGCTAATGTAGTAGTTACGAGTCAGGCTGTTCACATCAAGGGTAGCATTTGAAACTACCAGCTGTTCTGTGAGAGAAAGATGAGGCTTTCTGCTCTTGTAAAGATTTACAGCCTCAGAAACCCTACACAGGGTTGCTATGTATTGGAACTGACTCCAAGGCACATCACCACCACCACCACCACCATTGATCCTATAGGATAGGTTGACTGCTTCCTAGACTAACTAGACTCTCAATGGGAGCTGACTGCCACCTCTTTTCTTCCATGAAGGGTGGAACCACTAACCTTTCACTTAGCTGCTGAGTGCTTAGCCAGGATGCCTTATAATTTTGATAACTATCATATACATCTTTGTGGAGTTTTTTGCTTAAAAAACCCCCACATTGTTACAATAACAAAAATATGAAAGCATATTCTTGTCATGTGCCGCTGAGTTGGTTTCACCTCATAGCAACCCTGCATAAGGTTTCTGAGAGTGGCTGGTGAGTTTGAACTGCCAGCCTTTCAGTTAACAGTAGCAATATACTTCGTTTTTCTTTCCCTTCAGTTTCATACTATAAAAGCAATGCATGAAAGAATAAGCAAGTTGCTTGCCCAGGAGCCATCAAGGCAAGTGATCGGGTCCCCTCAGGGCAAACCCCCTTCCAAGACTAAGACTCAGTGGGAATACACGAGCAGACAGGTGCTCTGACTGGTGAACACACTGGTCACCAATAAGGGGAAGTGAGAGAAAAGCAGCAATGAAGCTGTGAACTAAGTCCAACCACGTTCAATAGACTCCTGTGAACACAGGTGGAGACCTGGTTGGGAAGTTTGGCAAGACCTGGGGCCTCCTGGTCTCAGAGTCAGTGACATAGCCACAGAGGACTAGAGTGGAGAGTGAAGCGTCCAGCTGATAAGAAGGGAGGGCATATGCACAAGAACACCCACACTTGCAGATAATACCCACTTGACCTGGCTTCAAGGGCTTGTTCAGAGCTCAACCAGAAGAGGAAAAAAGAGCAATCTGATACAATTTGATGAACTTGACCTACACCTATGGATGCAGTAGCTCAAAAGAGGGAACAAATCTTTATATTGAGGATCATTCCACCCCCCTCAATACACAGGGTAGACAGGAATAGGCAACTTGGACATTGGTTACCCAAAATGGGGGGCTACAAGGCAAGAAGTGACAGCTTATAAGCTTTTAAGAGGGAACCTAGATCCAGAGGGCATGGAGGAAAGTATAATCTTCACTGAGTAGTATCCAATGTGTCTGGGCGGGGCTGATGCAAGGAGATGGGGATAGGACTCTTGTGATACAATAGTGAATAATTACTATCAGGACTGACTGTGAGGGTTGGAAATGTAAAGGTAGACGTTTTGTAGCAAAAGGATGGGAGTGGTTGACTTTGCAGGCCAGAAGAGGAGGTCCCTGGGACCATCAAGTGAGAGGAGTGGAGAGCGGGACCCTACCCAGAGAAAGAGTGATGCCAGAGATGGAGGCAAAGACGATGACGTGGAGAGATGGAGCTGCTGGGAACTCTACACCCAGAGAGGGAGAGGGGCTGTGTGCTGACGACCAAGGGGCAGACTTGTGGGGTATACCCTTTGGTTGGTTGATGATGCATTGAGGGGATTGTAACCATGGCAATGAAATGATATACGATAGGAGGAATGTAAAGCTAATGTTCTCCCATGTAAACTATCACATAATTCACAATAAAACAGTTTTTTTAAAAAAAGAGTAATGTATGCACATAGCAAAAATAATTGAATCAATACAGAAGAGAATTGAAGTAAGACTCTCTCTAGCTCACACGTTTAGTTCTGCAGGAACAGCCACTGCTATTTTTGTCCTGCAACAATTTATGATTATAAACTTGTGAATAGACATTTAAGCCCTCTCAAAGAACACAGCAAAATTTACCTTTGAGGAATTTAAAGATGGTAATAAGAAGAGACAGAGAAACACAGGTAGCTTAGTCTGTCACATTTGGCGTTATTCCTTTTTGGAGAAAAATATATGTGCCTCTTGACTCAAGAGTTTGCAAGAGGTAAAAGTGATCTACATGTGTTTCCTAAGCTTTATATTGTTAGCGGTTGCTGTTGTTGTTAAGAGCCAGAGAAACCTTGAATAGGGTGGCTGAGGCTTTACATCTTTACAGGAGAAGAAAGCCACATCTTTATACCACAAAGCAGCTGATAGGCTCGAACTGTGGGCCCTGTGGTTCACAGTCCAGTGCTTATTGTGTGGAAAGGTAGGCAACTAAAATGGAATTATGTCTTCCTACAAAATATGCACACATTGTATAATTAAAAGATGGCAAGGACATGTTCTACATTTCTACAGTTTTTGCTTGTGATCCAATTCCTGACTGTAGCTCCTTTTATTGTTTGTTGTTGTTAAGTGAGGTTGAGTCAGTTCCAACTCAAATCAATCCTGTATAAAGTTTCTGAGGAGTTATTAGTGGGTTTGAACTGCCAACCTTGTGGTTAGCAATGCAGTGTTTATTCAAGAACACCACACCAGAACTCCTTAGTTCCTTTAGGCTACAAGTAACAGAAAGTCCAACTCACAGAAGCAAATTCATTATCACATATAAAACAGGAGGGTGAGTTGG